GCTCTTCCCTTTCCCTCAGGAGCTCCACTGAGCCCCTCTGCCCCTCCTCCGCGGCTCTGCACTGTGTAGGGAGGGGACCCGGTACCCAGGGAGCGGGTAAGCTCTCTCTACTTTGCAGCTGTGGATGGCAAGGAGCCCCAGTGGTGAAGACTGCCCATCACCCAGGGCTGGAGACAGGTAACTGCAGTCAACTTAAGTTTTCATGGAAATGACTCCCCTTTTGTGCGCTTACTTCATGGGTTTCTATAATTACTTAAACTATGTAACTATTATAACAGATACAGCTGGCATGAACAGGTTTGGGACACAGGGACTCCTAGTTAGCGTACTACTCAATGGGGAGCCGAGAAGAAAGGCAGCTGGAGAGCCTATACCTGCAGCGCCATCTAAGCGCGCACGGGCATCCAGTCGGTACACAGGGAAAGGAGAGAGCGGGGAATCCAGGCAGACAGCATTTGTACTGTATTATCTAGCTCTTCATTAAAACTTTTTAAAGTTCTTTTCCTTTTCATTTAAATTAGCTTCCGTTTCCCTGGAGTCCTTTCTGTTTTTTTCCTCTCCATCCTTTTATGTGGTTGGTTTCGTGTAAAAGTCTAGTGGCCCTTAATTCTCCATTCTTTCTGAGTGAAGGGTTAGGCTGACTAGTACAGGTCTGGGCTGTGGGTTTCTTCCTAACAGGCCCTCTCCCAGGCTCGCCCTTGCCTGGGGCTGATGGTAAGGACGCTCAGAGGCAGCAAGCAGAGAAGGCCAGCAGGCCAGGCACTCTGCGTACTTCTCTTCTGGGAAGAGACTCCTTTCTGATGGCTCTCTCCTTCCATTGTGGACGTCCAGTCTCAAGTTCTGCTCTGTTTCTCTCTGCTGGCCCAATGCCCAAGCAGGGAACCTCCCCTTAGCTTAGGTGGAGAATGGGCCCAGAGCCTTTTCCCCAGAGCAAACACTGTCCCCAGCAGCTCTGAGTGCCCCGGGAGGGCTAAAAGCCTGGCAGGCGGTCCTGTAATTATTATCCTGACCTGCCCTACAGCAGCCCTGCTCTTTAATGTGCTGACACAGAGCCAGCAGTTGGAAGGAAAGCTTTCACCTCTACAGCAGTCCTCTCCAGCATCTGTTTTAGGGCATGGGTTTTCTCTGATTTTGCTCCATCAATCTGACCCAGTGTGCTGTTTATATTTCACACCAGTTCCTCAAAATTTCTGGTCCTCAGATGATACCCGTCCTTGGTTTGCAGGGCTGTTTTCGATATTTTATCTTATTCTGTTTTTTTGCAAGAGTGGGAATCACTTCAGCAGG